TGCTTTAAATCAGAGTATTATTAAAACCAACTGTATTTACATTTAATAAACAGTTTGTTATTTATTAATTTTTTTTTTTTGTTTCACGATAAATTCACTCCTGCTTGAAAACTCAACACACTAAAAAAATTGTGTTTCGAAACTTGATATTTTGAAACACCTTGTTGTAGGTGGGGCTTCGGCAGTGCTGCTTGCCCCTATATATGGGGCATTTTCCTGCATTTTTTTGTTCAGCTTTCTAATCCCCCATGTTTCCCCGGGGTGGGGGTGGTGGGGGTTTCCGGTGACAAGTGCATTATATGTTGTAAATGCGTTTGCTTTTCCCACTAGTAAATATGTAAATACAACAAGCTTTTATTTGAATATTGTCACTCTGATGAAAAATATTTTAATAAAAGAACTGTAACGTTGGACCCTAAAACTGGGTGTGTCAGTGTCGTAGGGACTATTAGCATACTAATCAGTCCCACACCAGTCAAGTTTTGGAATATATATTTCCTTCTATGTACAGTTTTGTATATATCTCTCTCGTATAAATCTCTTTCTTGTATGTATCTCTTATATATGTAATTGTGTGAGCGTTTATATAGTACTTGCCCTCATTAAATCTGACCTAATATGCGCACAAACTATGGTAATACAATCCGATCGTCAGATAACTAAGATAGTGCTATTACCGTAGAAGGCAATTCATTGGTTAAAGTTAGCACGGTGTTTGCACTGTTCAAGGCGCTGCACTACTTGTACATTTAGCGCAATAGTTGTTTCTCTGACTTCCGTTTAAGCTGTGTTCTAGCACTGCTAGAAGTACGTCATCAACGCGAACCGCTATGCCATATAACTGCTGAGATTATGCACTATACTTATACAGACATATGTATATTCAAATCTACGCTACAGTACCTTTGTATAATCCTTCCCCAAAAGAAACATTCATATTACTTACTAGCCTATTGACAGTCGATTCCAGTAAAAAAAATAAATAATGAAAAAAAACTTAAACTAGTCTATTTTGCGCAGGTTGCAGGTTGAAGTACATCCGGATACATTTGGACAAAAGTAAAATGTGGTTTCAACAACAGTTCTGACAGAAAGACAAAAGACAAGTTCTGTTCAAAAGACTTTTTTGACCTTCTATATTTGTGACCAGCCATGTCAACCATCCAGCCAGCCATAGCGGTTAAAGGTTGCAGGGTTTCCAGATTACTTTTTTAGAACCTTGTTGAACATTTTCCAAAACAGAGCTATTGTGGATGTGATCTCACCATGACATTCCATCCTTGCCAGCTGGATAAGCTTTTTCTTTTGATTCAGATTTGTTTCAGATTAACTAAAAGATCCGCATGTACAAAGTTGTAAGCTTGTGGATTGTGGGGCAAGTATCTTTTGCTGGCTGGTTATAATCCTCAATTATTTTCAACATTATGACTGATGACTACCGCTATCAAACCTTTCTAGTCAGCCCAAATAATATGCGTTACAGAAACAAAAATTACTCCAGATTGATAGATTAAGTGAAAGCACAAAGCATGTGTATGGTGTGAAAATACAATATTTGTGTCTCAGATTTGATAAGATTTACACGGTAGGTAGCGTTTGGATGGCAATATTTGTGCTTTGGATCAGATTCACATGGTAGCCTTCGGATCGGACAACTATATTTGTGCTTCAAATCGGATTAGTTTCATGTGGTAGCCTTTGGATTGGATTGGACAACAATATTTGTGCTTTGGATCAGATTCGGGTCAAAGCATTTTGCAAACCACCGGATCAAAAGCCCTTAAACCGATCCAATGCACACCTTTAATAGAGATAAATATCAACAATACAATAATAATAATAACAAGCTAAGTAAAGTATTTAAGGCCAAAGCTGTCATGGAATCAACTTCAGCTTTAAATTCTGCAAATCACGCTTGTGTTCAACTTGCTAGCAACATTATCTGAGCACTTTCTGAAAGAGAATATGCTATCATGCAAGTGGCTCTGTAGAAACAAGTTTTGAACTTTATACAATATTCTATAAATTCTATAATATTTTATTGGTACATTATGTAGAGCACTATACAGTAGTCAATCACTTTTTAAAAAAAAAGCACTGACTTACAGTCAGTTGAATTGTTTTTACAGAAACACTGGATGTTGCTTCTTAACATGTTTTTGTACCAATTTGCACTCCACAGACATGGCAAGAAAATAGATTGATGTCGGGTAAGGTTACCCTTACTAGCAAAAATATTGCAAAATTCACTGCATTAAAATGTTTTTCAAATGAAGTTTACCCATCTGTTTTTTTAATAAGGATGAGTGGTTAAATACTTAATAACCATGTGTTTTTTTAATAAGGATGATGCTTTTTTAATAAGGATGAGTGATTAAATACTTGGTAACACGGGTTGGGATAAAGCGCAGAAACGGAATACAATACAATGTTACAATACAATACAATACAAACAATTTATTTAGACACTGAGGAATCTTCAGTTAAAAAATGCAACTGGTTTACAAAATTGCCATGAGAGAGTCGCTATGTAAATTAGTAAACTAATCATTTGTGGCTTTCTTAAATTGAAAAAAGAGGGCTCAGGAAAGCTATTCCATAGAAAGCCTTGTTATAGCATAAGCTGAGTTCAGGGGCAGATCTAGGGGTAGTCAAACTAGTCACGCGACTAGGGTAAAAATTGCACAGATATAATAATTCAGAAAACTTCCAAGTACTCCAGTTTAAATATCCCATACAGCATCAGAAGTCTGCATATTAATTTTCCAGTAAGTCATGCAGATTAGTCAAAAAAGCAGATGACTGCATGAATTTTGACTAATCTGGGGCAGATTCAAGCCATTTGATTGGTCAATTCGCATTTTGACTAAAGTTTGCAGGGGGGTTGGGTTGGGTAAACTAGTCAACTTCAGTCAATAGGAATAATAATAACATTTTAGTTCGCAAAGTTCAAATTTGCTGAAGATTTTTTATCGAATACGATCCCTCATGCGAATTGATAATGCCAGTCTATGAATAGGAGACAATCAGGTTTGCAATTTTATTCGCAAAAGGCAGATCTTCCGAAGGAAATTCACACGCAAATGCAAAATCAGTTGAAGAGCTTCTTGCCGCTATCTAAGACACAAAGAACATGCTGCCAATAAATTTCCCTTCTTGGTAAGAAGTGTACAGCATCAAGGTTAATAATTCTGTTGATTTTATTATAAGCAATATACTACAATAATAATGAACCTAATATGTTTTGTGGCACTATAAATGTATGAGCCAAGGTTTGTTATTGTATGTTATTGTACATTAGCAGTTCCCGGTCAGACCAAAGGATCATTTTAGAGCTGATTATAATTCATATTATGTAACATTTACATCAACTGAAGCTTTCCTGTCACCATTTTTATCGAACAAACCAGTTTAGCACACAGATTTACAAATTTTTTTGCTGAAACATTAAAGTGGAAGTTTAAAGCTTATAAAAGCATAATTTGTTGTATAGTGTGGTGTAATATGATCTGTGATATGTATTATGAATAATTTTCATTTCAAAATAAAATGCGCACCCCCTTCCTCCCCCCCACCAATCGTTCCGAAAAAATAATCGGGAGAAATGCACCTGCGGTAGTTGGACCGAAAATTTTTGACTAGGGTGAGAAAATTTATAGATATGCCCCTGGCTACATTTTAGATAGTGATTTGTGGTTTTGGTAAATTTAATTCAAATTGATTATTTTTAAAATCCTACTAAGAATTTCGAATAGAAAACAAGCTTTGTAAATATGGAGGCATATTTTCTTTTAATATTTTGAACATCAAACTGAGCCTTAATATTTTACGTGGTACATAAAGATTATCTAACTGCAAGCGATTTAAGAGAGCACAAGCGTTGACTTCATAGCTTGACCTCATTATGACTTGAACTGCTCGGTTTTGTAGTTTTTGTAATTTTTTTGCAAGTGTGTCCTCTAATTCATCCCAAACCAAGCAGCAGTAGTCAAAATGAGGTTGTATTAAAACGAAATAAAGCTGAACTGCTGCTTTGCGCTATATAAAGGGTCTTACGCGCTTTGACGCTCCAATAGCCGGAGAAACCTTTTTGGATATTTTGTCAATATGCTCTGACCACGAGAGGTGACAATCAATATACATAACTAGAGATTTGGAAAGATTGACCCTGTTTATTTCAGGATTGTTAATGGAATAAGATATATCATTATCGGTAATATTAATTCTTTTCTGCAATCCTATTATCATGAATTCCGTTTTAACTATATTCAAACTAAGCTTATTGGCTGTAAGCCAGTCATTCAGATTTTCTATATCACAGTTAATAACAAATTGCATTTTGTCCAATAAATCAGCGGATGTTTCTTGGGGGAAACTCCAAAACTATTCAGTTTTCTCTCAAATACTTTAATGTTAACAAAGAGGTAAAAACTTGTTTCTGCAACTCTTCTTCATATATCAAAAGGTCTTTGTCTAGTGTACTCTAAAATACTTTAGTCTTTTGGCGACGATCCATACTGAATAAGTTTATGTATTTATATTATCGAAACACGTCAAAATTGTTAATGTAATTTAACATTGTTAAAAAGTAGAAGGTCAATATCGACGAGGAAATTACTTGGGAACATGTCACTTAAAATGACCTGTAAAGTAAATATTATTGCTACCCTTGGGAATCACAAAATTACTTTTCCGGTCATGAGGTGACAGCCCATGGGATTTCCTCCCAAACAATAGTACTGTAGTACAAACTACAAGTTTCAGGATTCAAGAACATAAGTTCTAGGCAGATACTAGTTTGTGTCAATAATTTTTTTGTTATATTTTGCTCGAGTTTTGACACAAACGCTAGATTACTAATAGGACGTAAGTTCTTAAACACCGGTTTCAAACCAATTTTCTTAAGTGATGGAAGAACAACAGGCTCTTTCCAATCCCTAGAAAAATAACCAGACTCCATAGACACATTGATAACTTTAGTGATTACAAACAACAGTGTATCAATACACTGCAATAGTAATGCTGGTAATTAGTGTACGGACATCATCCTCAGATAATGAAACAAAAGAGTCAAATGAAGGTACCATATTACACGTTTCAATTGCAAAATCCTGTGAAACAACATTGTCCAGCTCATCCCGGATGCTAGAAATTTTTTGAACGGGAGCATAATGGTCCAAAAGAGCAGATAGTGTGGTATTGTAAGAACTAACCAAGGTATCCATTTTCCTCAGGGGATCTTGACACAATACAGAATTAGATAGATCTCGAACAAATGATGATATATCCATAGCTTTCGTTTTCCGGAATGATACTTCCTTTCTTAAAAACTGTGGCTTTGATATGTTAAGATCAAATATAACGGAGCAATGATCTGAAAGATAGCAACTTGGTCTGGGGGAATGACACCATATGGAATGAATTTCACAAGTGATAAGTAGGACCAACGTCTTACCAGATACATGAGTAGGAAAATTTACGTGTTGCACCAAACCCATAGATTGAAGAAAGTCCAGGAACTTCACAGCATCATTGTCTGAATGTGCATTAACATGGATATTGAAGTCGCCAGCTATCAAAAGAGGCTCAGTTGCCATAATAACAGATTCCAAAAACTCTGCAAATTCCGAAATGAAGGCACTCGTGGTTACAGGATGTATAGCTGAATACGGGGGCCTATAAATTACAACTAGCCGTATCCTAAATGTGTCAGAGGCAATAATCCAGTCAGAGCATTCAAAAGAATTCATAATAGCTGCCTTACGCTTTTTTACTCTAAGTGTATTATGCACTAAAATGGCAGTCCCTCCGTCGATTCTGTTAAGGCGCGAACAGTTAAAAAGGGAATATCCAGTAGGTGTAGCATCAATCCTAGCTGCAGCGTCGACAGACTTAAGCAATGTTTCAGTAAGAACAGCCATGTCGACCTTAGATTCGTAAATATAATCAGCAAATTCAGCACCCTTGCTTTTTAGTGACTGGATATTCAACAAACAACATTTCATAAACTGTCCTTTATTGTTATAAACAATTGTGGGTGCAGTCAATGGAACTTGAATTAAATTTGAACAATCACAACAATTCACTCTTCGCTTACAATCTCATCTATTTGTGATGACTGTTTCTATTCTTTTTGCTACGTCAACTTGCTTTTCCCAAAACCGCAAAATACGACATGGTTCTAAAGTCGAGAAGCAGACAAAGATAGGTTGACATTATCAGAAAGGCAACAAGATTTGTGCAATTCTCCATTCAAGCAACACGTCAAAGCTGAGCAATCACATACATTATTGCCGCACTCATAAGGAATATTTTGACCAACAATGGTAGAATTTGGACCAGGATTTGTAGCTATATCCAAGTAGACTGTAATGTCTTTTGGCGGGTCATGTCCTGTGACTAATAGCGCAGTTTGTCCATGTTTAGACCATTTAAAATAGCTTACTCGAGACTTACAATAACCACCTTTTGGTAGAGTGATTTTATAAAGACCACCAAACTGAATGACAACTTTATGATTCGTTTTCGCATCATACAGTGATGTAAGATTTTCGTTTGTCCACAGTGAACGTACAATGACTTTAGAAGGCACCTCAATCAATTCGAGATGATAAAAATGAGAAATCAATACAACAAAGATCATTAAAATTGGAGAGACAAAGCAATAACTGGTATAAACTCTTCTTTCTACTGTAAATTTTACAATACGCTGAAAATACCTGCATTCATTAATGCTGTAAGGAGGTCGTAAGATAAGGCAATGAATTTTGTCAGCACTATTTCTGCTTTAATTCTTTGCTGTTTCCTTGGGGTGAAAATGCTGGCTTCAATGTTTTGATGACCTGTTAAACATTGATATTGCCATGTTTCATGCAAGAAGATAGATGATGAGCCATCCCTTTGTGGTTTCTAACAAAATTTAATACCTGTAAAGAAAAGGTTCTCATTTCAATTTAACATAGACAAGAATAACTTGTTACTGATGTGGCTGACATAAGAAGCATGCTTTTTGCTTTCATTTATTGGGCTGATTAGAATTAAGTATTTGAAGACTTAGGTGAATAACAAGTTCTGGGGTAACTAGTTAAAAAAATGAAACATGTTTTGAAACCCCATAGTATGAAATACTTTGGATAAATTGATCCAGCATGGATTTACATTGATGATCACAAAGTACTTGGTATTTCATCGAGGTTAACATTCAAAGGCAACCCATCAATATCTAGTTTCCATTCACATGCATTCCAACAGTTGTTGACATCCAGTTCTCTTGCAACCAAAATGTGAAGTATATGTAACTTTAAAGTGTAGTGCCCAAGAATATAGTATTGGGTCTATCAGTGGCATGGTACTTGGTAAATGTATTTGGGTTTTTACGTGTCACCATTTCTTCCTCCTCATGTCCAACTTCAAGAATACTAGCATTTATGCATTTATTGCCTATTGGACAGCACTGTTCTCATCCAAACCAACAGGTCTACAAAGATTCAGTAACAAGTTATAAATTCATTTATAGACAGATTTAGATTGAAGATGCATATTGAAAAAAAAACATGGCAAATTTTAATGAAAATGGTGTGACCTACCCATTTCATGTGTTGACTGTTGACATGCCATGGTATTTCCACCTCATTCAACCTTATGTCCACTTTGCCATAGCCCATAAGCCAAATATTAAGTTGATGATCTTGCAATTATAATACCTTTAATTTTATTACAAAAAAATGCGGTACTTAGCATAGTGGTAAAAGCGTAGGTTCGATTCCTGCTGGAGGACCGATAGTTGACTCATTTTTCCTTCAACTGTTCCTGGCTTGAATTTGAAGTGTGTATAATTCCACTCGAAATTAAGACCCTTTCAACCTCTAGAATTTACCTACATCGAATGAAGTGCCAAAAATCATAAAAATTTACCTTTACCTAGAAGTTAATTTAGTTATTAAAGTCACCATGCAAACGTACAAAAAAATGATCACTATACTAATGTTTACTGGCCATATGATACACATGGGCTATGATAGCATGCTTCTATTTTGTCTGCGAGAAAAATTAGAATAAAGTGTTGATGGCATAAATATTATAATACTGTAGATGCCTATGTTTTTGAAAATTGAAGATGCAATGTTAAAATATTAGAATGCAAGAGTTTCTAGTACCCCTTTTAGAAGTTTAATTAGTGGAAATTTTGTACGAAAGAATGAAAATCCACTTTGTTAGTTGTATTGTAAGTTTTGACAAAAAAATTGTTTAGTTGCAATAATACAACCTGTGTCCGAAAACCTAGAACCAATGTTGGACACAGCTCTTGAACCAAAAGTCATATTGGAATGACTGGATGGAATCTATTGGAACCTTGTCCTCTATTGCCAGTTATGCTAAGCAATGTGACACATTAGTGCATGATGCGCGAAACCTGCCATAGATTCGTTGAAAAGTCCAAAGCGATTCTCCATGATATCAAATAATCAAAGCTCAAAGTTGACGACCTTGGTTTGCTTGAAGTCTCAGTTGAACATGATCCAGGCCTACACAGTGAGGTGTGCAATGAGAACCAACAAGAGTACCTTATTGAACTCAGACCATTTCAGCCAAACTTACCCTCTTACCCAGTTAGTCAAGATATTTCTCAAGGCAAGCAAAATAGTTTTTCATCCAGATGGTATAAGAAATATCCACATCTGGAGTACAGCCTTGCAAAAGATGCTGCTTTCTGTTTTGTGTGTTCATTATTTAATGAAACACCTTCAAAAGAGAAGGAGGACAGCAGGCTTTAGGAAATGACACAAGATGAAAAGTGTTGGAAGGCCAAACCTGGAAAACTGGTTCAACACTTCTCCTCACAAAGTCACAAAGCTTCTCTGGGTGCTTATTGTCACTTCATGTGGAAAACAAAGCATATCGACGCCCAACTAGATAAGAAAATAGGCGCAGCACAAATTCAAGAAGACAAGACATGGAATATAATCGCTAAATTATCACCATCCTTGATGTCGTGAAGACACTTGCTCACCAAGCTCTTCCCTTCAGAGGTGACAGCAATGAAGATGGGAATTTTATGCAAGTGGTCCTTTTGTTAAGTAGGCACATACCAAACTTAAAGTGGTGGATATGTGACAAAAGGCTGAATCCATATCATGTGACCTATCTAAGCCCTTAGTCACAGAACAAATTTATCTCGTTGCTTGAGAAAGAACTGTGTGTGAGAGTTGTCGAAGATGTCAAATGTGCAGACATGTTCGCCGTTATGGCAGGCACTACACCTGATGAAGAACAAACAGATAGGCTCTCGGTTGTTCTAAGATATGTCAGTCCGAGTGGAGAACCAAGAGAGTGATTACTGGATGTGACAAAGACGGAAGACAAGACAGGTCATGGGCAAGCACAAGATATCATTTCTACGATAAAGCGGTCTGGTTTGAACACCGATAGTCTGTGCTTTCAATCGTATGATTTTGCTGCCAATATGTCCGGGGAATTCAATGGTGCTCAAAAGCATTTGTTGGACATGAGATCCCATATATACCATGTCACGCCCACCGGTGCAACACTGTACTTGAGCATGGTTGCAATGCAAGCCCCATTATTAAAGAAATGTTTGAGGTACTACAAGCCCTTTATGTATTCTTCACGTCGAGTACAAAAGGTTTCAGCCATTGAAAGAAGTCGTCAAAGTCGAGAATTGCCTGATGATCAGAAACCTATCCAAAACCAGATGGATTGCGAAGGCAGAAAGTATTCAAGCTGTATGGGTATCCTTCCAAGTCATTGTTGACGTGTTACACACAGTTGCAAGCAGCGAAGGTGCAGATGCAAGCACAAAAACCCAGGCACTTGGTTTAAGAAAAAAATGCTCTCACTTGACTTTGTCATTGCGCTGATGTTCATGAAAAATGTTGCATACAAGATGAAGAGTCTGGTGGTGCAGTTACAACTGAACTCAACATCTTAGATGCCACTGATCTTGTTGAGGGCACGTTGAGTGTCCTCAGAAGTTGCGGGATGTTGCGGAATGACGATGCAGAAGTTGTGGGATGACGACAAAGTGATGGACAGTCAAATTGAGGCATCCACCACCTTCGCCAGGAGCATTGGAATTAACGCTGAATCCGACTTTGACCGTCACCATCGCCCAAGGAGAGTGCCTAAATGTCTGGACGAGCAACCTGAAAGCTAATTTAAGTACTTTCCTTATCGGCCTTTTATAGAAAACAGTTTTGTGAAGCCCTTGACATTCGCACAACTCGAATAAAAGAACATTTGCTACAGTGCAAGAAGCGTATTTTACCTTTGTTGGAGTGTCTAAAGCCACCAATTTGATGCGTCGCATGTTTAGTCAGCCATCACACTATTTCCACCTTCACTGTCGCCTGATGCATTAGCTTTACAAGCCGAATTGCAGGTACTGTTTGAGCTATTACCTTCTGATGTGGGAACCAACTGTATCAAAGTAGTTGAAGTCAGCGAATCCAACAAATTGTCACTTCCATTAGCAAATTCCATGGTCAGATTGATGCTTTTACAGCTCCTGTGACTGTCGCCTCAAATGAACGCTCATTTAGTAAGTTGAAATTTGTTAAAAACAAATTGCGAACATCAATGAGCGATTCAAGATTGGTGGGTCTTGTGCCTTTCACCTGCGAGAAAGACTTAACGGACACCATAGACTTGGAAAAAGTTGCAAAATCGTGGAGCCTGTTAAAGAAGAGATGACTTCTAATACACTGCTAAGCTAATATGTATACTATTAGGAGCGTTTTCTTTCTAGAAGTTGCGACTCGTCCAACTGGATACTTTTACAAACATATAAAACTATGTACTAAAATAAAAATAGAACAATTTTGTCACATTGTGGTAATGAGTTTTTATAATAGGCCTCAAGACCATAATATCGAAACTGATTGCACCATTATGAGACGGACTG